TGTGTTTCTTAGACTGTGACTAGGATGCGTGAGAGAAGTGAAGCATGCTCTATTCACACAAGGAGAGCTGTTGTTCAAGCTGCTTCTTGTTGTGTCATTAACTCTAACATAGTTATTGAAGCAAGTGTTACTTCTCTAAGTAAAGCTATTTATTTATTAACCTTTATTTAACCAGGCAAATTCCATTGAGATCACAGATCTCTTTTTCAAGAGGCCTGGACCTGAAGGCAGACTAACATACATGTTTTTGGTCTTAAAAACTAGATATTTAACAACCGTTAAAATACACCAGAATGCAGGAAATGGCATCAATTTTATTCAAAAATGTCTATTTTCTGGGGGAGGACCCCCAGACCCCCCACCCCCCTCACCAGTATGCCCCCCCCCCCCCCCCCCACGACATTACAAATATGCTTCTGACACCAATGGCCACCGTGTTTCTGAACATCTTCCAGAGCAGGACCCTCACCCAGACCAAGGCAGGACTCTCACATATACTACACACCTCATGAACAACAAAATTATTGTCTTTTTCATTTGAAGTGGGCCAAATCACTTTTATTAAAAGTAAGCTAATGGAAATTGCTGCTGTAATTTGATTATTTTAATAAGCCATGTAACTTGCTATGATCCCATGATTTGAACAGGCGTGATGATGGTGTGTGACCACAGCATGCACATCTGATGTTGCTCACAGTGGTCCTCAGTGCACTCAGGGAGCTTGTGTTTGCCCAAGCACATGAAAAATTAGAGGGAACATTGGTCCCCACTGAAAAATAGAAGCTACACCTCCGCCTTGACCAGTTGTTCTAGGAACATGAAAATTTAAATTATTAGGTGTAGTGGATTCATTTATACTTACAAAATCGTCCTGTTTTAGCCAAGTTTCTGTCAGACAGAATAAATCAGTATGATGATAAATTATCAGGTCATTAACTAACAGGGATTTTGAGGAAAAAGATCTTACGTTCAATAGTCCACATTTAATGATTTTATGATTTTGTTCTGGTAGTTGTGTTTATTTTATTAAAATTTTTATGGTTTATGTTTTAGAGCTGATTTTTGGTTTATTTGATTGGAGCCGTGGGCGAGTTGGCACTGTTTCAATGGGGTGTGGGTGAAGAAGAAGAAGCAGCAGAGAAGTGTGGAAGACTACATCTCTGCTTCTTGGACTAATTTCTAGGCTGGACCGTTAATTGTCAACAACCCGGATATCCAACTGAATCAGCTAAGTTTTAGAGAAAAGTGCTGCTCCATTTAAGGTGGGATGGATTCCATCTCTCCATATCAGACTGGGTTTTCCCCAAAATGCACTCCAGGTGTCTACAAATCCTACATTGTTTTCAAAGCACCACCTGGACACCTAGCGGTTTAAAGCTGACATACAAACAAACGTCATCGCTGGACAGGTTGGGGAGGGGGCCGAAGAAAACTACGGAGTCAGACGTAGTTTTTGCAAAGTTACACACCAAAAAAAACATTAATTTTAGTGACCTCTGATTTGCGTAGCAGAGAGCCATTTTTGCCGAAGTGAATAATGGTTTTACTGTACTTTACCTTAGCCTTAGCCAGTAGTTTCAGGTGGGATTCAATGTCGCCCGCTCTGGCCCCTGGAATGCATTTGTATTTGGTTTGAGTCGCAGGTGCCACATTTCGAACTATGGAGCTGCCAACAATGAGAGTCTGCTCCTCAGTGGGAGTCTTAGTGAAGCAAACAAAGCTTGTACAGCCTACAGTTAAATTTACAGTTCCCATGAGACCATAAATGAAACAATTTTAGCATCAAACAGAATTTTTTTTATGACTATAATATGTTGATGGGTTATTAAAGCCTTGTCTTGGTGTTTGTACAGGTCCTTCTCAAAAAATTAGCATATTGTGACAAAGGTCATTATTTTCCATAATGTAATGATAAAAATGAAACTTTCATATATTTCAGATTCATTGCACACCAACTGAAATATTTCAGGTCTTTAATTGTTTTAATACTGATGATTATGGTATACAGCTCATGAAAACCCAAAATGCCTGTCCCAAAAAATTAGCATATCATGAAAAGGTTCTCTAAAAAAGCTATTAACCTGGATCAACGACGTAACTCTAAACACCTGCAAAAGATTCCTGAGGCTTTTAAAAACTCCCAGCCTTGTTCATTACTCAAAACCGCAATCATGGGTAAGACTGCCGACCTGACTGCTGTCCAGAAGGCCATTATTGACACCCTCAAGCAAGAGGGTAAGACACAGAAAGAAATTGCTGAATGAATAGGCTGTTCCCAGAGTGCTGTATCAAGGCACCTCAGTGGGAAGTCTGTGGGAAGGGAAAAGTGTGGCAGAAAACGCTGCACAACGAGAAGAGGTGACCGGACCCTGAGGAGGATTGTGGAGAAGGGCCGATTCCAGACCTTGGGGGACCTGCGGAAGCAGTGGACTGAGTCTGGAGTAGAAACATCCAGAGCCACCGTGCACAGGCGTGTGCAGGAAATGGGCTACAGGTGCCGCATTCCCCAGGTCAAGCCACTTTTGAACCAGAAACAGTGGCAGAAGCGTCTGACCTGGGCTACAGAGAAGCAGCACTGGACTGTTGCTCAGTGGTCCAAAGTACTTTTTTCGGATGAAAGCAAGTTTTGCATGTCATTCGGAAATCAAGGTGCCAGAGTCTGGAGGAAGACTGGGGAGAAGGAAATGCCAAAATGCCAAAAGTCCAGTGTGAAGCACCCACAGTCAGTGATGGTCTGGGGTGCCATGTCAGCTGCTGGTGTTGGTCCACTGTGTTATATCAAGGGCATGGTCAATGCAGCTAGCTATCAGGAGATTTTGGAGCACTTCATGCTTCCATCTGCTGAAAAGCTTTATGGAGATGAAGATTTCATTTTTCAGCATGACCTGGCACCTGCTCACAGTGCCAAAACCACTGGTAAATGGTTTACTGACCATGGTATTACTGTGCTCAATTGGCCTGCCAACTCTCCTGACCTGAACCCCATAGAGAACCTGTGGGATATTGTGAAGAGAAAGTTGAGAGACACAAGACCCAATACTCTGGATGAGCTTAAGACCGCTATCGAAGCATCCTGGGCCTCCATAACACATCAGCAGTACCACAGGCTGATTGCCTCCATACCACGCCGCATTGAAGCAGTCATTCATGCAAAACGATTCCCGACCAAGTATTGAGTGCATAACTGAACATGATTATTTGAAGGTGGCGCTTTTTGTATTAAAAACACTTGTCTTTCATTGATGGGATGAAATATGCTATTTTTTTGGGACAGGCATTTTGGGTTTTCATGAGCTGTATGCCATAATCATCAGTATTAAAACAATTAAAGACCTGAAATATTTCAGTTGGTGTGCAATGAATCTGAAATATATGAAAGTTTCATTTTTATCAATACATTATGGAAAATAATGACCTTTTTCACAATATGCTAATTTTTTGAGAAGGACCTGTATAACCTCCATTTTATTTATAATAATCAGAAATGTTCTATAAAGACACTTACTTGTAGCTAATAATTTAGAATGTCAATATTTAACTTCAAGGTTGTCTTTAGTGGTTAATGTTTTGTGTCTCTTTGCAAAAAACAGCAACAGCTGTCTGTTTATTGTAGGAAAGGAAGTGGAAGGGAAGCAACATCAGCACGCAAGGCCATGAAAGCTGAGCAGATCCTCGTGAAAGCAGAGAATCAGAATTGTCTTTATTGTCATTGCACCGAAGCGCAACAAAATTATATTTCAGTACAGCCCGTCCGAGTAAAACATAAACAAACAAACATGGGGGGGACGGAGGTGTCTCACGCCACGGCTGTGTGGGAGGCGCTGCTTTTTTCGTTTAGATAGGAAAAGAGAAACACGGGAGAAGGGGAGGTATACAATAAAAATTATATCTCACACTGTGTCCTAGATGGGACACAGTGTGAAAGTTGCAAAAAAAACCTCAGCACAGAAAAAGCAAAATACTTATGACATCATGATAAATATATGCATGAGGAAGGCCAAGCAGAGATGACATCAAAACTTTTGGAGATACAGTGACAGGATTTGTCTATGAATCTTGATTATGACTCATTATAAACCACTGTCTAATGTTTACTGTCTAAGAAATCCCAAATTTGTTGATCAAACAAAGACAGGTATGTGTTTGTGGAGGAAGACAAAGAGGACTAGGGCTGGGCCATGTCATATCGTTCACGATAATAACGGTAAAAAAAGTTTGCCTGGGAAAATAAATGATATCATGATATGCGAATTTCATGACTTAATACGTCAAACGCCCCGCACCGTTAACAGAACTGAGTGCGCCGAACGACCAAACCGAACTGTGCACCCCCACTCCACCTGTCGGTACTGGCGTAACACTAATTAGTTGTGTGCAATACTAGCTAACTAAAAAGCTAAAAACAAACAATGCGTGGCTCGGCTGCATCTCTCCATCCAGCTCTAAACTGCAGGTACAGACAGCTCAACTGTCTCTAGGCTAGAGACTAATTGGTAACTCTAAATTGTCCCTAGGTGTGAGTGAGAGAGTGAATGGTTGTTTGTCTCTATGTGTCCCTGTGATGGAATTGTGACCTATCCAGGGTGTACCCCGACCCTCGCACAGTGATTGCTGGACATGGGCACCGGCGACCCCCATGACCCAAAATGGAAGAAGCGGGTAAAAGATAATGGATGGATGGATGGATGAATAACTACGATTTGGGGGGGGGGGGGGGGTATTATATGTCAAAATTTATCGTTATCGCCAGAATGATCTGAAATATCACGATATTATATTTGAGCCATATCACCTAAACCTAAACCAGACCTCTGTCTGGGTAAACAGACACAGGACACTGAGTAGTGAGCTACACCATCAGCAGGCAGTACGGTACGCAGTTTACTAACAATGGTACGAGTGCATGTATTCAGACACCCAAGTCATTAATAATGCATATTAAAAACCTGGTAAACAGTTTTAAATCTACCAAATTTTATCAATTTTACTTTAACACATACCTTAAAAAGAGTGACAGTGATCTCTATGTTCTCTGGTACTGGCCACACTACAACTCCTCTGTATGGGTTTTTGATACCTGGCTGCCAGCTGTGGGACTGCAGGACAGGAGGACACAAACCAAAAACAAGGCAATTAAATTTGGAAATCAGAAGTTTTTTTAATCTTTATATCCTTAGTTACTGAATGCCACTTACTTTAGATGATTTCCGCCGACTTCTACGTGTCCAAACCACCACCAATTTGTCTGGTTGCCTGTGAAGTAGGAAAAATTAAAATTAAAATGAAGGAAAAGGGCCAACTATATTACCGGTAATCAGTAAAGACAGATATAAGTCTCCACCAAATCATACAACATGACTGGCAGACTGTGCTTGTAACCTAATGTCTCAACTCATAAAGCCTTCTACAATACAAATATATGCACACAAGAACACAGAGCTTCACAATCTCACAGTGTGAATAAATCATGAGGCAACTGACTCAATGTTTTGTATCTGTAGAATGCAGCAAAAATTGGACATTCTCCAACAATATATAGTATTCACTGTAGTACGTAGATGTTCTGATTATTTGTTTTTATTGTTTTACTGTTTTTTGTTTGTTTTTAATTTTGTACAGCACTTCAGACGGCTGCTTGTTGTATTTTAAGTGCTTTAGAAATAAATTGGTATGGTATGGTATGGTATAGTATTCAGTGCTGTGCAAATGTGCTGTAAAAGTCACCTCTTTCAGTCTTTACCCACATTCCTTAATAACAATTTGCATGGGAGAAGTGAGGCAACAAACAAGCAAAAGAACGGAACAGAAAAAGAAACAAGTTGCCTTCAAAAAAAGTGAGATGGTAATAAAAGGGGTTTGAATTCTAATTTTGACAAGTCATTTGAAAAAAAAGACAAAAACACTAAAATAAAAATAGCTACCGGTAATTTTCATTTCAATGCAAGTCAGCAATGCCTCAATCATAGAAGCTTGTTAAAAACACAAAAACCTAACAAATGATGAACACAAAAGGACAAAATCAAACTCCACAATTAATTAATATATTTAGAGGAAGACAGACTAGACAAGCAAATCAAGAAAAATTAATTTAGGACAAAAGCCAACTAAAATCATAACTAACCGACAAGGTTTCAAAGGCTGACACATACTTTTTTTTAAAGCATGGCAACCAATGGCCAATTTTTAAAGGCAACTTGGTTTGTTTTAGGCCTATGAATATAACAGCTGATAACTCGTCCACATTAAAATCTATAAATAAATAAGTAAATTTAATTTTGCCCAGGGATCCAATGTCATTCAGTACATTTTTTTTTACGTGTGCTACACTTGATTTAAAGGTTCAGTGTAAATCCAGTTACAAATGTAGATCTTTACATATGTTCCCCTTTAAAATGATAAAAAATGTATGTTCTAAAAAAAAAAGAAATAATATTTTACTATTTTCCTTAATAAAAACATTTTAGAAAATTTGCATAACGATCAGTATCTTTTTTGGCGTCTGCTGGTGTTGTATTAACAGAAGGCACACCCGTCATGAGAAACAAGTACATTGTGTCACATGTTACAACACTGTGCACCCCACAGATGGGCATGATATTTAATTGGCTTAGTACACTCAAGTGTATATGCTGCTAATTATTTATCAGCCAACCAATTAAATGATTTAACTTCAATCCTTGACGCTATACAAAACAAGTACATTTCTAATCACTATTAGAATAACCCCATCATAAAAATTGACTCTGTCCCTTGATAGGAACAGATACACAATGGCAGGTCAAGAATCACATGTTAAGATAGAAATAGTATCAAATAAAAACTATTCAATTTTGGCATTTAAGGAAATTAGGTCATTTTGTCCTTTAATAGTCTAAGCTTAAAGACAACCTTTGTGTGTACATTAATATTTCTGTAAGTGCATCTTATCAAGCCTCAAAGTCATTGAAATATTGAGGAACCCAACTACATAGGCATTTTTACAGTAAATTATGCACAACCTCAATCAAATGTGGGAACATTTCTTAGTCAGTGTGTTTCACATGTACCGGTAGCTGTAATGCTGCTCAAAATGCCCACAAATACCGCAAGTTTAACAGCCCAGAAGTCAAAGACTTGCAGACGTACAATACCAAAGCAAGTGGTCAAGTAAACAATGAGACAGTGTTAACAGAGAAAGAAGAGAAAGAATGAATAGCAAAAGGAGAGACGGGAGAAAGCAAATGACAACATGCACAAAATTTTTTGACTGGATTGAAATGTTTTCCAATTAAATAATTCAAATGTATCATTTACATGGGCACAATCTGTTCATGACGAGCGTTCACATGCAGCGGGCTTTGTTCTGAACAGAAGTACTGACATGCACAGAGTGGTAATCTCTCCTTTAAAAAAAAAAAACACAGAAGAAGTAGTTCTACTTCCGGTTTACTTCCGGGATGAACGTAAACAAACCTGAGCACCCAAAATGGACTTGCGACAGGTTTTAATGACGGTGGAGACGTTAATGCACTCCCTGACTGAGCTACAGGTAATACAGATCATTTTGAGCTCTTTCAAAGTTTATAGTAGAAATATTGTGTCGCTCACCGACCAGTTTTGCTTCCCCGACATGCTAATATTATTAGCATTACCCAGGCGGAAATGGCAAAGTCGCACATGCGCAGTCAGACCAGTTTTCACCATCAGAAAAAAGCGAACAGATAAAGTGTTTACATGCGCACCATTCGGGTTATGAATCGGCATAAATGACCTGTTTCGTTCTGATCACAAATTATTTCGGATCACACTGAATAAACAAAAAAATAACCCCAACGGGGTGTTTATATGACGCGTTTTAATTCCGAACGGCCATTTGATCTGATTACTTATGTCCATGTAAACATAGCTAATCTGAGCCTTGAGAAGAAGCCATTCATAAAGCAGCTTTTGTTTATCAACACATGCTGTATCAGAGTGCAGACACTTACAAATATTCACCTGTTTTCTCCTTTGTGCAATATCTATTGTGCTAACATGTACGCCATTTGTCTCAAGGCAAAATTATTTCTGCAGTGTTTTATTTTTTTACATATCAGTCCAACCTCAAGGCTCTATCACCACACTTAATGAGCCTCATGAACCCACGAGGAGACTCGAAGGTAAAGGTCATCAAAAGAAAAGTCTCAATGACAATGTGTTAAATCAAATCGTTCAACTTGTCTTTCACTTGGAGAAGGAATATAGTTTTATTAAGTTGAAAAAGTTTCCATTTTTGAGACTTAATTGTCAATGAATGCTAACACGCTGCTCTTTAACACGTGTTGTTCTGGGTGCTGTAGAAGTGGAAAGCAAAGTGTCATCATTGTAATGATTTTATTCTTTGTTTTGAGTTTAGAATTTGTGTTTGGTTATTCTTGTGTACTTCAGTTTAGGTTGTTTTGACTTTAATGTCTGTGAAATATATTTCTATCAGTATTATGTTTTGTAATGTTACTGAAAGTTGTGTACACCTATGGTCTGCAGTATAAATGCATATTAAACCGATGCAGAACCGTTATTTCTGGATTTTTGTTTCCGGTAGGAAGGAGTTTTAGTTACACGCCTGCAAGCCTGACACTTGATTGTTTACATTACAGATGGAAGTATTATTGGCTGAGAGGCTGGTCACGTGGTAAGAGCAGGCTGTCCTATGAGCGGAGATGATGACACCAAGGGGTGTGACCAGTTTCTTACGAAAAAAGGTGATGCTTTCTGTAAACGGGGCGGCTGTTCAGGTGAAAGGGGCAGACGTCATGTGAGTTTGTGATTTCCACTTATCTGTACAATAAACCTACAATAATACTGTGCACATTTGTTCAGAGCCTGCTTCAGACCTTTGAATAACGCTTACAATTGGTGACCCCCGACGTTGAGGATCTTGAAGCAGGAACGGGGTGGGAGCAGTTGTGAGCTTCCTACATCGGCTGGTCAGTTCCATTTGCAGTCTCAAGAAGGTGCCTTCTCATTCAGGTGAGCAGAACTTTTTATCCGAAAATTTCTGCCATTGGTTACGCTAAATTTTTAGCTTGACTGTGGATGGTGTTTACTTTTGATGGGCTAATATATACCATGGACTTTCGGCGGTTTTAAGCATCTAAGGTTAAACTGTTGTTGTTTTTGTGTGCCTTTCTTTGCAGTGTTACTATTGTACACAGTTGAAAGCACATAGTCACACATAGGGACAGTTAATAAGTGCCTTAAATTTTGTTTGCCCGTTTTACTAGGCCGCTTCATGCGTCCTTGTACCGTCCACAGACGCTAGGATGCGTTATGAGCTCCCATCTTCGGTGTACTGACGGGTGTTTATCCGCCGGGACTTTTGGGACGTTCGCTGTCCGAGTTAGCTGCTAATCTCCAGGTGCTCGTGGGTTCGCTGTCCGAGTTAGCTGATAATCTCCAGGTGCTCGTGGGTTCGCTGTCCGAGTTAGTTGCTAATCTCCAGGTGCTCCTGAGTTTTGTCGTGGGGTTACTGAAATTAGTTCTTCTGTAGCTGATTTTGTTGTTTATTTTATGGTCTGACACTCGTGCTCGTGTTTGGATGTCGGTTGTGTGCTTAAAAATTGTACTAACGGGTCCATACTTCTGAAGATTTTGCCTTGGACAACACCTTCCCCCGCATGTAAAAAAAAAAAAAAACAATTACAGAATGTTGCAAAGGTACGAACACCTTTCTCCGGGTTGTTTTGGATCGGACAGGTACACCAGGAGACTTCACCTTAGTTTAAGAGAGTTTTAATACACACCACAGTTAAAGTATTATAAAAACAAAGTACTGAAATGCATTTCAGGAGACAATGGAGGCGTACTTCACCTAAAAAGTGGCCCTGCTCAGGATTGACTGACGCTACTTCTTGTTTTAGGATAATATAAGCGTTTCATGAACCCGCCTCCCTCTCGGAGGGGGCTCTTCTCCTATTGGCTGACCAGCTGGTCAGTCTAAGGTTACCTTGGCAACCACGCAGTCATATTTCTTATCTTTCAAAGAAAAACTAGTTTTCACTGGATTTTCTGTACCAGTCTCGAAAGTTATTTTTCTTTGTTCTGTCTGCAGACGATTCGGCCCCTCCTTCCTGCTCAGTGCTGTATGAAAATAAGTTTTTCACCGCTATGTGATAAATATGTGTGAACAATTTATAACATACACAAAAATAGATATGATGTGAATAAAGTATAAATATAAAACTATGGAAAAGTGAACACACACAGAGTGCAGAATAAAATGAACACACAGTGTA